AAGGAGTGTAATGCAAATCTTGCCAGAATTCCTACCCTCTGCATATTGAATTTGGATTTTAAGGGTTTTCTTGTGTAGAAATGCACTAAATTGTCAAGTATTTTCCCAAATGTACTCATACTTTCACCTTTTAAAAAATAAGTAAATAAATAGTCCAAAGTTTGGGCACTTGGCCATTACTTGCTGAATTACAGAACTCAGCTGCTCATTTGTCTGATTCCTCATTGTATTTTTCTCTGTCCTCTCCCACTTGAATCCTGTTGCACTTGGGAAAATAAAGCTATACTATCTAAGGTCTTTTCCAGCCTACTGGAAGAAATTTGTTTAATTTTTATGACTCATGAACAGAGGAACTGGTGAAAATGTAATCTTATTTTCTGAGCCTTTTATGGTCTTACTGTTGACAAATTATTTGGTAGCCATTTCATATAATGCTTTAATTATACGTGTGCAGGTGTGCTGAGTGCATGTTTGGACACGTTTTCTTGTGAAGAAATCACAGTATTGTGCAAGTTTGATCTCCTTGTGGGTTTTTGTCAACATGTGCAAATGTTCAAACAGGCAGTAATTCCATACAAGCGACAGTGTTTTGAGATCTGCCATTTTGAAGAGAGAAAACATTATGAATGGTCCTTTTTTATTTTTTGTAAAGATTTTCATGTTTAATGTTGACGTTTCTGCAGACTTGATATACTTCATAAAATATTTCAAACCGTGAATTGAATAGCATATGCTTTTAAAGATGATAAAAATACTTGCTCTAGTCATTCATTAAGGAGGTGGCTACCAGCTTTCCTTGTGTTTTGTCTGCCCACTTTCCATTCTGGAATTGTCTTCTGACTTGTGGGAAGCACTGACACTTGTATTGTTTGCAGATGGCTAGAGCTAAGCAGGCAGAGAGCTCTGTCTGGGAAAAGGCCTTCATTGCATGAAATCCTGTTCAGGATTCATTCAGCTACAAACTGTGGGGAAAGGGTGGCTCTTTTTTTTTTTTTTTTTTTTTTTCCCCCCTCTCCCTTGCTTGCTGCTGTGGAGGAAGAAAAGATCTTGCTGCAATTAGTTATTGGATATGATCTCTCCCAGATGTCTTCTCTGCTCAACAGCAGCAGATGCAGCATGTGGAAAACCTGCAAGCTGGCATGTTTGCCGTGACTTTCCCATCCAAGACTGAGCTGTGCTCCCCCTCCAATTTTCTCAATCACATCAAGTTTCGGTCACACATGTGCTTTCTAAGACAATAGACTTCAGATAATGAGGTCAGTCCTGTTGCTTGGAAGGGGGAAATCTCTGTGCCCTGGTGATGGGTCAGCTCCTCCTGCTGTATTGATGTAACAGCTTTACCTGACCCATGAGTGAATTTTGATGACTAAAGAAATTAGGTAGATATGTCCTGCTAGTTACTTGGCTTTTGAGTTCTCTGAATTCAGAGAGTATTTCATTTAAGATGAGCTGTGAGGGGTTACTGCTTCACTGTCCATATTCAGATTATGGATTTGATTATGTGGGGTTGCTCCCAACTCTTACAAGTTGGCAAATATAATGACAAAATGGAATTTTGGCCCAACGGTGAATTAGTCTTTTCTTTTGCAATCAAAATAATATTTCATCACAATATATTCTGGTTTATGTAAATGTTATTGTCTGGGAAATAAGTCTGGGAAAGAAAGTGATACTCCAGAATTAAAACATTCAGAATGCTGATGTTGGATAAGTATCTCTACAATAAACACTTTTTTTCCTGTAACTACTTCCTCTTCAGCTGTGAAATTCTGTAAAAGAAATAATGTTTTCAGTTATACAGCACAATTTTTCATCCTTAAGCAGCGTGGTCTTCTGATTTACTGAATGCCCTTGCTTGTTTGCAAATTGTCCTTGAGACATCAATAGCTTAATGTAGGATGTAAATGGTTTGTGAAACAGGAATTTTACGAAATAAATATGAGTAATGAAACCATGAATAAATGCAGGAGGGCCTTCAGATCTGTGGTGTTTGACAAGAATGTGAATTGAAGAATACAACATCTGGAAATTTGTGTTCAATGTAGTTATTAGAGTTGACTTAAAAGACAAGTCAGTTTGGAATTTCTACTAGAAAATTCACTACTAGAAGTCTAGTCTCATCTTCTGAATTCATCTTTACATTAATAATAGTAAAATCCTGATCTCTGAAAAGGAGTGGTTTAATCTTATTTTCTAATTCAGTCACTCTATGCAAGACAGTCCCCAAGTCTGTGCTACTTACAGAGCTGAAGGTACTGTAGAAAGTTTTACCAGTGAAAGCTTTGATAGTACAACTGTGTTGTCATTGTGCATCCAAACTATTGCTTCTGGACTGATGCAGAGTTTTCTTCTGGGAACAGATTATAGATGTAACGTTGGTGTTCATCTTGCTGCCCTACGGTGCAGTGTGATACAGGGAAACCTTTGCAGCAAATCCTGAACTAGTTTTTATATCTGGGATCTGTGTGAATTTCGTGGAATGCTCTCAAGTTTCTGCATTGCAAATTTTTTTTTTCTTAGTCCTTGCTTTCTAATTTACTATTCCTTTTGGTCTGTTTTGCTGTCAGAGAGACAAGGAGATGGTTATGTTTCCTTTGAAGACAAATTATCCTTGTGGTATTACACACTAACTTCTATCACAGTTACCTTGACCCTTCAGCAGTCTTCAGGATGCAGAGTGGTTGCAGGAATGTTTCTCCCTGAATTTATTAGCACAGTTTTGTAAAGCCAGGGATGCAGCTTGTCTTTTTCTTTCATGAATTGTAACTTATGCTGTGTTCCTGAAGAGCAGAACTGAAAGATTTAGTCATTATCTGAACTGGCAGAGGGGTGCGCTTTTTTGTAAGAGCAGTTGGAGATGCCTTTCTCTCCACTGAGATACTAAATGTGCTGTTTTGCCCAACCTGTGTTGCCAAGAGGAAAATACCTTTGACAGGGTCGACTCGGGCTGACTTGCTGAATTTGAAGATCCAGCTAAAAAGGCAAATAATATGTGCCCAAGAAGGTGTGGTGGAGCCCAGGGACAATACCAGTGTGATTTGGCCGTTTGCCCATACTTGCATAAGATGCTACTTTGTGATATATTGTATATGGTAATTAACATGTTAATTTGTTGATTCTCCATGTGGAGAAATGTGGAGTTTGTACCCTTGTACTTGCAAGGGTACAAAGAGAAGTGAGTTAAGTCTGTTTGCTCTGGTAAAAGTTAGAGAACTAGAGAAGGCAGATAGTGATATGTGTTTTACATTATTATGCTGGATACTTTCTATAGGAGAAAACAACGGTTGGAGGTTATGGCTTCTAAAACGTTTTTCATATCTACGAAAATAAGAGTCCTAAAATCTGAAAGCTGTCTTAACTTGCCTGTTTTGATCGATGTAGAGAATAGTGGCATTTGGACTATGGGATTATGCATTTGAGAAAAGGAAGATCATAAAATATGACAGAAGTAACCTATGGAATAGAAATCTCTGTCTTAAGTGGGGAGAAGGTTAGAATATCTCTGTCATGTCATTTACACGCGGTTTGTTCAAGCTAAATAGCCTGTTTTTACTTGTTGAATAATTATGCCTTAATAACTCCAGCATGCACTAAAACTGGTAATAAGGAATGTCAAACACTGTGGAAGAAACATTTAGGAGCAGTCAGCTTCTAACAGAGGTGCTGTTCTGAAGGATAATATTCGTTGCCCCAGTATTCGGTTTCTCTCTTTTTCTTAGACTGGGTAATAAAATATATGCTTTTCTTTTTTTGGCTTCTAGGTGTTCACTTCCTGTTGTCATTAGTTGGGAGTTGTGACAAAATTTGGACTTTTAGTGTAACAGAAGAATGACATGAATTCCTATCTGTGACAAGTTAAAAAGAAATTCCACTAAAGAATACAATCTCTAAAATTGTTATAAATTTATTGCATTTACCTATAAATTACCTGTGGTGTTTGTTTTCCATTTTATTCTTTTAATTTCCTTCTTTCTGTTAGATGCTGAAGTGCAAAGTTTTTTTCTCTTGAGTTAGTTAACAAAACCCCTTTCATGTTAATTTGATTTTTTTTTCCTAAAATATTGCTGCTGCTGTTGGCTAACTCTTCATCTTTTTCATTGTATTTTGAAAATTTAAACTCTCATTCATGTGTGTGTGTAAACTTGATTGAGAGTAATTTCATTCTGACACCAAATCTCTAAGGGTTTTTAGTAAATAATAAACCACATTGTAACTTTGGTACAATTGGTGTAGATTTGTCTCAGACCTGAGCGTGTAAATGTGGAAGGTATGAAGCTGTCAACTCCTGGATGCTCAGGAGCTGTGGCTGGAAAGGTCCCTTTGGGCCAGGAAGAGCAGAATGCTGTGTCACTGGTTGAATTAAACTGACATGGTGAGAGGTTGTAGGTTTTCTTATTTGTTTTTAAGGTACAGGATGATCCAAATAAGCTTATACTGTATTTGGGAGGAGGGGAGGGCAAGTTGAGCTACTTGACGAGTCACTAATGAATTTAATTTTAATCCCAATACTTGAATTTGGTAAGCTTTCAGAAACTCGTGAGTTGCTGTGGTCAATGTGACATTGTCAAAATGGGACTCCAGAAACCTCATTTGAACTTGATTTCCATTCTGGTTTTGGAGGGAAATGAATAACTTTGTATTTTAGAATTATTGCCATTTTCTTCTGTCTTGATGAGTCTCTTTTATTAGATAAAAATTAGTAGTAAAAAGCTTATTTGGTTTTAGAGAGTTTGGAACATGTTACTGCTCTTATGGATCTGCCACATGGCTTGCATCTCCTAAATTGAGAAGTAAATCCTGTTTATCCACCTCACTAAGGTAATAAATAAATCCTGTTCATGTTCTCAGTGTGATGGATTATACTAGATTCATTGTTCACCTTGCTAAAGGGGACACAGAAGAGAAACAATGAGTTGCTTTTGTAAACATTGAGATGGCGCTTGTTTTGTACATAACATCAACAAGTCTGTGTTGCAGCTCTTGGACAAACTATTTTAAGTGCCCTGTTCCTCTGAAGCTGCTTCCTTAGCTCTTGGAAGTGAGATTGATGCCTGGGAAGAAAAGGGGAGAGGTTCACTCTCACTCAGCTTGTCCATGCCTGTTTCACAATGGTGCATAGCTTGCCTGATCTTGGCCTACTGTGCGGAAAATGGATTGAGAAGTCTAATATTAGTCCTTAATGTAGTAACAGAGCTTGAAGACAAGCTTGGTAGTTAAGTCCGATATTCATTAACCTTCAAGCTTTTTGAGGAGAATGTTGTGAACGAGCCCAGAGCAATTTTAACCTATGTTAAATAAAGCTGCTAGAAACCTGTCATTCCTGGAGCGTATACATTAGCGTCAATGAGGTGTGTAGTTAGGAATGAGGAATGGCGATGTAATTCTGGTCCTTCTTAAAAAATCGTCATGATACTGTAAGAGTGAAGCTTGATGTAGAAATCTGTGTTTTGTTGTAGTAAAATTTTAACACTAATACAAAAGGTAATTCTTCTGCCATGCAATGCAGATCTGGGATAGCCTTTGGAAGCCATATGGCCCGACTTCATGCAATTTTTCATTTAGGTAGTTAACACTGAAGTTAGTACTGAACTTAAGGTGATTGATTGGAGTCTGGTACTCTAAGTGAGGCTGGCCACCGCCTAGCAACTAATGGTGTTGTGTTGGCTTGGCTCAACTCAGATAAGGAAGAAAAATATTTTCCTCCAAATCCCAATGGAAGAATATAGAGTTATTTGTGTGGGGCACAGGCAGTACATCTGGCACAGGAAGAGCTGACAGGAGTGCTTGTTACCAAAACGTTTCAGGGCAAAGTGGGAGAGTTGGCATCTGCTCCTTTTTCTTTTGGTGTGTTTAGTTACATTCAAACATGAAAAAAGTATAGTGTACGGAGACAAACATTAACAGAGACAATGAAAAGCCCTGGTGTCCTTGTGTCCCTCCCTTCTCTCTTTGCAAATTCTTCTCTCTCATCAGTCTTTTGGTCAAAACATTTAGCAGATGCTGGGTTTCTTTTAGGGTTCTAAGAAAGTGAGTCTTTGAAATGACTCTGCCTTAGGGTTTGCCAGGATTATATTTTATTCTGGAAAGAGTGTTAGTGTTTAGTTGATAGTTAAATGCTCTTTGATCTTGAATACCCTGTTCCTCCCTTTAAATGATAGCAGCAGCTTTCAACAAGCAACACAACCCTATTACTGCTTCCTTTCTCTTTCTGTTTGGTGTTACTGTGTAGGATGTGGAGGTTAAAGGGAATAAAATGATTACTTCCCAACCCCCTAAACTCTCACTTTTTTCAGTAGGCCACAGCATTATTTGGATAATGAGGTAACTGGTTGTGCTGTTTGATACATACCATATATACTGTCTTATTCTAATGTATGTAGCTGGATTCCATATATGTTTACAGTCTGTTATATAACACATACTGGTCTTGTAAACTCCAATGCTGATGTGGAACAGTACTGGGATATATCTGTCAGTGCCAGCTGAATAATTTTGCTGTACTAAAGGTCTTCTGACACAGAATGGAAGAAAGCCAAGTTACATTTATGAAATTTCCAACTTGAGCAACAATGCTCAAGATTTAAATTGGAACACAATAGTAAGAGTGTATAGTATTTATGATGATATCAGCATCTAATTTGTTTTTCTAGAGTTTTATAAATGCTTATAAATATGTGAACATCTCTGTATGTACTGTAGGATATGTGGGATTTTTCAGGGTAAAGGCTGGACCAGTTTCATGCTGTTTGCCCCACAGTGGAAGGTTCGACTGCAGATGGTTCCAGGTGTCTGGCTCTGGCCATGGTTTGCCAGGCAGCAAGAAAATCCAACACGACACTCTGTTATCATTTTGAGTCTAGCCACCATCCTCGTAATTCTTCATGTGCTGTAGCAAAATGAGTTCAGTATTCTTGCTCTGAACTTTTGACAAAGTTTTCCTCCATCTCTACTTCATATTCAAGTTTTGTTTCTTTTGGTCTAGCCAAAGGCAGACCAGAGACTCTTCCATTCTTGTGAATAGCTTGGTACCAGTGGTTCTGCCCAGCAAGGTGTTAGTTTTCTGTTAGACCACTGCTATTTTGATGTAGGGAATGAAAATGGAAGGTGACCTTAAATGTAAATTTAGCTAAAATGAAACAAGAATGATGGATGATACATAAACACTTGAGGATGAATCTTGTAGTTAATATCTGCTGACTAATCAGAACTTAAAATCTTAATTTTGGCAAGAGTCAGGACTCTGATCATTGCAGCAGTCTGTTGAACCAAATGACTGGAGTGTTCTTACCCCATTCAGGAGGTTTGTTTCTTCCCAGTTACATCTTGCAACATGTGGTTGGTTTTTATTTTGCTCTAGTGGCTTCTTGCCTTTGGAAGTGCCAGATTCTTAAAATCCATCAGAAAAAATCTCCTCCTATTTCATTGTCTTTTCTTCTAGGTGTTGGTTCAATAGCCAGGTATCTGCAGCTTTTCTTGACCCATCAGGTCACTCTTCTGTGTCCCAAACCCTCAACCTCCCTCCACCTCTTAATGCTTCTCAAAATTTTTTGGGACAGTTCTTAAACATTTCAGAGATGATGTGTGGAAAGACATTGCAAAGATTTAATGTGTCTTCATGGCTTTAATACAAGAACTCCGCAAATCTGCCTTTGGTGTGTTAAAAGGTTACTGCTTCCAACCACCTACTCCAGCCCTTTGGTCAGTAGTTTCCAGTCCTTTAGCAGATTCAGTGAAGAAAAATGCATGAATGTGGCTTTCTGATCCTGTGAGAAGCTCTGTGTTTTGATTCGGCCCCTTCTCAACATGACTGAAGATGTTGGACTTTGCACTGAAAGAGTCGGTGTGTAGATACAGGTTCTGTCTGCTGTCGCTGTCATCAGAGAGGTGGCTTTTGGTGGAGAGGAGGAAAACGCAGTCACCCCGGAGGCTGTTTTGCACCGCTCTGTAAAGGCTCATTAAAGCCCATAGCCTACTTCAGTATTTTAGTACCCTTTCAGTCTGTGAAGGGGAAAAGGGAGTGGTGCATGCATGCGTGTGTGCAGGGCTGCATTCTTTCTCCTAACATGTACCTTGCTCAACTTTACTTGTGTACTTCACCTCTACAAGTGGGAGAAAATGTAATAATTGGTTCCTTTCTCTAGCGTGGGACTGGCTCTCATATGACAGGGCTTTGGTTGAGGATTATCAGATTCAAGAAAATTAAATAAGTTTGAGAGAGTGTGTGTTGTTGGACCCATTCTGCTGTAAATAAACTTGTGTTGTGACTTGGCTCACAAATAAGCATAACATTAGATGTTTAAGAAACTTGTTATTTTCCATATTTAAGGCCTTCAGAGCTGGCAGAACTTGTTTCTTTTGCTGCCTGCTTTATGAACAGCCTTTTAGCGCACAAGATGTTTGAGTTAAAATATCCATGTTTCGTTTCATGTGGGAATTATGTTACTTTTTCCTTTAACCTTATCATTCTTCCTTCAACCCTGTGCAGCATCTTCATGTGTTGAAAGGTACCTGTACAGGCTTTAGGAGCAGTGGCAAAAGGGAGATGAGAACCTGGCAGCACTGCATCACAGGGAGCAGTGCTCTTACATGTATGTGAGGAAAGGTCTAATGAGAAATGGGTGAAAAGAAAGAAATGTGGAATGTCACGGAACAGAAAGCTTTTTTTTTTTTTCCATTTTTGGTTGTGTCTTTCTGTTTGTATGTGACTTAACCTTTTAAGTGGTTGAACTGAACTTTCAGTGCAGCACTGTATGTCGAAGTTGTGTACTTGACTATGACACGTGATAAAACAATGTGTTGGATGTATGACCTGTCATAAAGTTGTATTTTAAAACAAAACAAGAACAGCAAAAAACCCCAAGTTTGTAGTCTTTTAGCTTCAGTTAATATTAAAAATGAAAATGCTTAGCTGGCTCATTAAAAGAGTTGTTCTTAGCCCTTTGGAACTGCATGTGATAAGAAAAAGATTATGGATTAACTAAATATTTCAAATTGTCTTTAGCCTTGGCTGACAACAAAAATGTGAGTAAAACCTTTACTTCTGGGTAGGAGTGTACCAGGGCATGCATCCTTTTTTTCCCCATTGAGCAATTCCATCCTTCCAGAACGTGTGAACTCCAGAACTGCAACCTGCATATGTCAGCACAACAGAAAAGTCTGTGTACACTGCTTGCTTACAGCTTTATAAATAATAAGGGTTTATAATGATGATATTATGGCTGAATGTAGAGTCTGATTACTTTGAGGGATGTAAGAGTGCAGCCCTCTGACCCCAAATTGTCAAATGCTAATAGGTAAAAATTGGGTTGAAGAAAATATTATAGGAATGTTACGAAGCAGTTGTTATACAAAATTAATTGTAATGCTGTGAATTTAACTTAAATAACTTTTGGCATAGTTTAGCTCCATCGAATTTCTAGTTCCATTGCAACAATACCTTTAAATTTGGTTTATGTATAAATGTTTCACTAGCAGAGTTATCCAAGTAAAGGATATAGAAAATCCTAAAATGCTGAGACACATGCTAGTGAATTTAGGTTAGCAGAGTGATACAACTGGCACAATTTACTCTGGGAGTTGTGCCTTAAACTTCTGTAGGTACAGATCTGCTAGTATGGCCTGTGTCCTAAACTGTGGTTTAGTGAAGTGTAAGAATAGGTCTAATATGGTACACATGATCATATTTGCTTCCTACTATATAGCTGAAATCTGCGCAACAGATTCCCAGATGAGATCAGAAGAGGATCAGACAATATTGGATGGCTTGTAATGTCCTTAGGCAGACCTGTGTGAAGAGTTTCTTGTAAAAGTTCATTATTCTAGGGTTAGGGGGATCTTCCAGCCTTCTCAAAATGATTCCCTAACCTTCAATATGTGCTTTTTTCCCTTGCAGACCTTTCAGCAGCCCAGAGAAAATTTGCCCATTCTCTGAGAGACTTTAAATTTGAATTCATTGGTGATGCGGAGACAGATGATGAAAGATGCATAGGTAGGTAGAAGTGACTATAAGTGGCTATATTTTGCCATGCCATCCTACAACATAGTTAAACTTTTTTTTTTCCTCTGGTTTTGTGTTACAGATGCGTCACTTCATGAGTTTTCAAACTTCTTAAAAAATCTGGAAGAACAAAGAGAAATTTTGGTGAGTTGCAATAAAAATTTTGCAAAGCTGTATGTATAGAAAGAGTAAGGTGAAAGTTGCAAAGAGTAAGATGGAAGTCAGAGTTGCTTACTGCTTTGTTAACCACCAAGATGTTGGTATTAATAACTTAACAGTGAAAGCTCTCATTGTGCAACCTCTGGTTCTGTAGTCTAGAGTTACAGACAGCAGCTAGATCTAAAAGAAGAAAGCTGTTATGTAAGGACAGATAACTATGAGTTGATTTAAAATTTAAAATCAGCGCTCTGATAAATTATGGCTGGTGTAAATGGGAAAACCATCGTAAAGTTGTTTACCATTTACAGTAAAAATCAAGATGAAAGACTTAATACTGCAGCAGGACACCCGAGATTGGGAATTTGGCCAAATTTGGAGGCAGGATCTCTGTGGCTCCAGTGTCAACACTTAGGTGGATTTGGGATGCAGTCTGCTGGCTGGATGCAGTGGCTGACTTATAAACCTTTTCTTTGTAGGTGAGCTTTCTGGTGGAGGCAGACTATGACACGTGCATCTGCAAGCATTTAGTTGCCCTGTTGTGTAGTAGAGAGTGTTCTGCCTTCCTGTGCCTCTGATTGCTGAGGGTTTTAGTGTGAGATGGCTCGGGTTAGCTGCACATAGACTGTGGGTTGAGAGCTCTGCGATACAGCTTGCCATCTTCTTTTCCTAAGTTGTCCAGAGGTTGGGGGATTTCTTTCTGGATGGTACCATGGTGCTTCTCTGCAGTTACATGCCCAGCTTGCGCTTCAGAGCGGGGATTCATGGAGCAGATGATGTGTACCCAGTTTTCTTCTGAGTGTGGTCAGACTCTGCAGCTAGGAAATGCTCTTAAATCTGCCTAGGTAGCAATTACGTTGCTCAGTGTTTGCCATGTGATTATATCTTTATCTTCCTGGAAGTCAGTGACCACTTGGCATCGCTGAGAGGAAACTCAGACTAATCTGTGTTCTGTGCCAGAAGCTGTGCTTGCAGTGTAGGAGTATGTAGATATGTGAGAAAAGAACTTACGAACATTTTTATATTTTTGTTTTAAACATTTCTCTCTGACAGTCCTGAGCCTGGTAATAGTCATGGTTCTTTGAGTGTGCCATGTTTTGTCCTGGTATGTTGTTCTCATCTGGAACCACATTTGGGTCAGAATTAGGGTCTATGTGGTTCCTTGCCCATTCCTACTAGAGACAGTTTTTTAGCATCTTGAGTTGTTTTGCCAAGTTGTAGGGATTTGCTCAAGTATGTTTGAATGCTGCTTTTTCTGTAATTTTGAAGTCCAGTCTTTACTCTGCTTTTTTATGCCATCCGTAGCTGTATTTTATTTTAATGAAGTTGCATACATCTAATTAGTGAAAGTCTTTGGGAAGTTTTACAATGAAAATACTTGTCACGTTATTTTCCACACTATTTTGGTATCAAATTTTTGAGAGGTGTCAGCTACAGGACTTCAGAAGTATGTGGCACGTTTCAGTGACTATATCAATAGAACTTCAGCAGTGATAGATTACCAACAGTCAGCTGTGCAGAATCCAGCACTGTCTGTATAGTAAAACACTACTGTTTTTCAGATTGAATGCCACAAACCAGTGTTACTTTTTTGGTTTTTTTTGTATGATGTCCATGCTTACACAGAAGGCAATAGGATGCTAGAAGATAGTTAATACCAGTTTCTTGATAAGTAAAAGATGAAATGCGGTATTTGTTAGAACAGTGGTAGTTTGATGAAAAACTGGCGAGTATAAAATATTGTCAAGCAAATATTTAATTCCAAATAGAAACAGAATATATTCCCGGAGTTACCAGATTTGTGACCTTTTCATTGCATCTATAGTCTAGCAAATGTTATGTATTGTTTCTAGAGTGACTTAATATTGGCCATAAGTCTCTGAGAAAATGATTGTGTGGTGACTGGTAAAGATACTTTTCAGCAGCTGCTACTCTGACTTTTTTTTTTTTGACATCTCAATGGATGTTTTAAGTAGCATGAGCACTAAGGATACTCCCATAGAGAATATTAGGGCACATTGCACTCACAGATGTTTAGAATCAGATCAGGGATCCAAAGAGTTTCCAATAAGATGCAAAGTATATAGCAGGATTTTTTTCAGAACTGTTCAGTTGTCTGTTACAGATGTTCTTCATTGAGCATTTTTTCCCCTTACCACCTTGAAGATGACCAGAGGGCTTCTGACTGCTTCACTTCTGTTTCAGTGTAGAATTGCAGATAAATTTCAGCTATATCAAGTAAAATTTAAGAAATTAATTAATTACAGAACTGAGGGAATTTCAGATATTGCTTTTTATTGAAATTTTTGGATATTTGAGAAGATCTTTTTACCATATTGTAAATGAAACAAATTTTTGCTTAAAATATATTCTAAACTGAAATTAAATGCTCATCACGGAATCATCTGGGCTGGAAAAGCCCTTGGAGCTCCTCCAGCCCAACCATGACCCTCACCCTGACCATTCCCAACTCCCCCAGATCCCTCAGCGCTGGGTCACCCCGACTCTTCAACCCCTCCAGGGATGGGGACTCCCCCCCTGCCCTGGGCAGCCCATTCCAACGACCAATAGCCCTTTCTGCAAAGAAATCCTTCCTCAGAGCCAGCCTGACCCTGTCCTGGGCAGCTTGAGGCCATTCCCTCGGGGCCTGGTGCTGGCTCCTTGGCTCCAGAGACTCATCCTCCCTCTCTGCACCCTCCTGTCAAGGAGCTGCAGAGGGCCATGAGGTCTCCCCTCAGCCTCCTCTTCTCCAGACTGAACCCCCCCAGTTCCCTCAGCCGCTCCCCAGCAGACCTGTGCTCCAGACCCTGCCCCAGCTCCGTTGCCCTTCTCTGGCCACACTCGAGTCATTCAATGGCCTTTTTGGGGTGAGGGGCCCAAAACTGAACCCACTCAATGAGGGGCAGCCTCAGCAGTGCCCAGCACAGGGCTCAGATCCCTTACCTGTCCCTGCTGGTCACGCCAGTGCTGACACAAGCCAGGATGCCATTGGCCTTCTTGGCCACCTGGGCACACTTCTCAGGGTTTGTCTAAAAATATTGGTTGTGATGTATCCAGAGCCCATAAAACTTTCTGTTAATGTTTACCACAGATTTACTTGTTTAGTTATCACTTGTCTGGTGAATATTTTATTTGGTGAATATTTAATAATTTTATTCAGATGTTGGAGTCTTCCACTTCATGATTTACCATCTCTTCCATCTGCTTCAAAGACTGCTGAAAATATATCCCAGCTGTCAAAGGATTTAGTTACTTGTGAAGAGGGAAGTTGGCATTAATCCATACATTTCACTGAAATTATTGTGGAGTAGCCAATACAAAAAAATTATGCTTTTCCATAGCACTGTAGCTTAGTGACATTCCCCAGGGCAGGTAAGAAATAGATCAGTTTGTCCCTGAGAAATTCTGGAAATTATTTTTACATGTTAGGGATGAAGGGAGTTGTAGGACTTACGTGCTGCCCCCTTGACATTACAAAAGTGTCTTGGAAGGGATGAAAGGGAACTTCACAAGGCTACTAGGAAAAAGTTGGGGATGAACAAGCACCAACATGGCCATGGTAAGATGCTCTGGCCTGCTACTTTGGCATCCTCCTTCTTGCCAGGTAGGGCATCCCACCTCCCTCCCAGCCCCAGTTCTCCTGTCAGCAGAAGCAAGTTTGGTTCTTGTGATGGAGTCAGAAAAACAGGCTTTGCAGGGCCCTTGTTTAAGCTGCGGTGACGAGCAGTGCAGGGCTACCTGGTAGGTACTGTTCACCTGTGCTTATTATCCCTTTCCTCCTTCTTCACTTTCCTTTTTGCCACCTTCATACCTTCCTTCCTCCATCCCAGTCTTCTTCCCAATGACCAGCATATCCCTAGTTTGTTTTCCCTGTTGATTCCAGTGTTGTTAAATCATAACCAAATTTGACAGCACTCCCTCAGTGAGCTCAGCAGTACTTGGCACTCCTGGTGTGGTCACCCTGATGTGCTAGCTGGGCATGTGTCCCCTCCCTGGAGGTCCTCCATCCTGCCCTTTAGCTGCTTCTAGGGTTCTGTTTTTGACATAACTCGACCTTAACCTCTCAGGAAGTCAGTCAGCCCTCAGGGCACTGTCTGTAAATTTTTTCAGCATCTCTCCCGGTTACAGGCTGTCTCCAGCAATCTCTCAGCTCCTGTCTAGCGGTGTCTTGTGTCCTGTTTGGTTAGCTGGCTCCCATGCCAGGACTGAGCTAGCTGCCTGTGCCTGCACCCCTGCCAGAGCTGTGACTTGAGGCAGGGTCATGTATATGGGTGCTGGTCTAACCTAGTCCTTAAAAAAGTTCCAGAAACAGGGATTTCTCTAGTTTTACTCTGTTTATTCTGTTTTTTTAACCTGATACCCATTCTAAGTGTCCCTTACTGCAGGTTAAGCTGGGAACTTTTCTACAGTATTCATGGAGTAAAACCAATCACTTTTCCTTTGTAGTATTTTCACTGTTACCCTTTCAAAGTGGTGATTTGCATCTGTATATCTCCTTATTAAATTTAATTACACTGAGTTTAGACTATCTCTCTTTTATGTTAAAATTATTTTAATCCTGCTTTCTAAAAGCACTGACATTTTCTCTTGTGTTTATGTCACTCTGTGTGTATATTAATCAGTGTGGTGGAGTTGTTAGTAAGTCACTTTGTAACTTGCTGCTGAAAATCTGATCATGTGGGAAACTTGGCTGTGATTTCCTGTATGATGCCTGATATGTCATCTTAGCTGAACAGGTATTTTTCAGTGTAGTTTTGCAACCAGGATGTTGTTTTCTCATTCTTGTGGCTTACTTGTTAAGACCAGGTCGCCACCTTTGCTTTTGAGAATGTCATTGAAGAGATCAACCACTGTGCTGATCTCAAAAAGGAGACTACATATTGTTCTTAACAAATTCAAACTAGCTTTTAACCTTCTGTAGTGTGTTCCAGAACTTTTGAGTATGAGAGCTGCGATGTCTGGTCTGTAACTCAGTTCCTGCTTTCTCC